CCCCTTGCTAACTGACAGACACAACCCCCCTTGCTAACTGACAGACACAACCCCCCTTGCTAACTAACAGACACACCCCTCCCCTTGCTAACTGACAGAAATACCCCTCCCCTTGCTGACAGATACACCCCTCCCCATGAAAACTAAGATATAACCCTCCCCATGCAGACTGACAGACACACCCCTCCCCTTGCTAACTGACAGTAACACCACCCCTCCCCATGCAGACTGACAGACACAACCCTCCCCTGGCAGACTAACAGATACACTCTGCCACATGCATATTTGAACTTCCCCATGCAAACATAAACTTCTGCATGCTGACTGACCTCCTTCTCTGTCAGCTCTACCTGCAGAGAATTAACCTTCTCCTTCAGATCCTTGTTTTCCTGCCTGTATGACTCTGACTCTTCTAGTCTCTCCCGATCCTCTCGCTCCCGCTGCTCTTTCAGCCGCTCGATGATTCGTTCCTGATGCAGAATGCAGGCTTCAGCCCTCCCAGTCAGCTGCAATCTGTCTGCAGTGCTACCCAAACACCAGGCTACCCAGAAGAAGATTTTTCATCCCACTCGAACATCACACTGTGATCCTTCCAGAATGCCAGGCTAGCTGGAAAATAATTTTACCAAGCTACCCAAACATCAACCCAGAAGGAGAAAAGCTGTGGTTTTCCAAATTACCTGACACAGAGCAGGCAGCACATACACAGCCCATCGTGTCTCAGACTGCTGAACTCCAACTTCCTAGTCATCTCTTTAACTCTATTTTAGGGATTATACATTCTACCTTTTCACCTTTTATCTAGCTTTAGTTTTTTCTCTTTTGTCTAAATTTTATACATTATTCATAATACCACTTGTTGTTAAGAGGGAAGTGATTAGACTAGCCAATGATTTATGGCGCTCAATAATCATAGTCACCAGGGGTCTCCAACCCTAATAGTCTCTTATTACTTCCTGTTTCCCCCATAAAGGGAACATGACCCATTATCCGGTGACCTTTCTTGTCACTGAGGTGCTGCTGAGATGCATTTTATTGGGCCTCTTAGGTCTGAAATTTGCATAGATACTTATGAGCAGCATATGCTACTACAATTCTTCTTTATGTACGGTGCAGCTCAGCAAGTTAGGGCTCATGTCCAGCAGAGTGTGAGTTTAAATCCCATGACTGGCAGTATAATTGACTTATGTAAGTTGCTCTGGCTAAGTGGGTCTGCCAAGTATCATAAATGTAATTGTAGTACAGCTGGGTTCTTATGCTCCAGAAATGCTGGCTGACCAACTTCTCTGACCCAACAACATTCCTCACTTTAGATGACAGCATTTGTCAAATAAGTGATTATATTGGTGATGTTTCAGCTTTCCATTCAATCTTCTGAATTCAGAAAATGAAGGTGGATTGATGCTGCCTACATGTAACATGTAACCCCAAGACACTAAAAACCAGAACATGAAAGAGGCACTAACTGCATTGATACAGTCATCTCATCATCCTGATATTTCCATGTGACTGTACCTTCTGTGCCAAGGCCTCCTCTAGCGTGGCCAATGCAGTGTCAGTGTTGCTGGAGTCAGTCTGCAGAGATTTCACACGGTCCTTCAGGTTGGTCAACTGCTTGTCTTTGTCCCGAAGCTGTTCCTGGAGATTCTCAATCTGGGAGGGAACCAATAGAGAAGATACAACAGAAGAATTGAGAAGTCAGATTAATAATAGATTCAACACCTAAATTAATGTTAAACATGTACAATTTGGTTTAGGATTGATATCAATATTTTGCTATGTAAATAAACAAGTTCACAGCTTAAATGAAAGCATCATATCAGGATACCAGGGCTTTAGATAGCTCGCAGTGGTGACAGAAGGGGGGGGGCATTAGGGGTGCAATGTATATCATGACATCGCAATGGGCACACCTGCAATAGTCACATTTTGAAATGACACAATATAAAAAGAAAATTGATCATTAAAAAAATCCATCATATAAAATAAGATTAACACCATTTAAGGTACAGTTTCGAGAAAGAAAAACAGCAAAAAAATAACTGATCCATATGAGAAATTGTTTGTCTGAAACAAGACTACAGTCTTCGTTACATTTCATCCCCGTGCTCTGCATGCACAATGAATTGGCTTCATTAATGCACAAAGTCATAATAAAAGATAAGGAATAATGGTGTGATGTTCACAGACGATTTGTTCATGGGAAACCAATTCCTTACAGGAACTAATCACTCACATTCACTTGTGCTTGTCCTCAGTCAAATTTAACAAAATTTTGACCTACGACTGGTATGTGTGCACATATATCATTCAAATAATTCATTGTATTTATACATTTATAATGTATTTGTACCATGCAGCTGAAAGGGTCCAGCTATGTAAGTTACTAGCTTATGAGAAATGCACCCCAGAACGAGAACAAGAGACCCAAAGGAGGTAGCAAGTGAGTCAATAAACAAGAGTCTCTCCACTCCTTTGGGTCTCTCATTCTCATTCTGAACTTGAGACCTGAAGGAATGAACAAGGCTACTAAATGAGAGAGCCGTATCTCGGTTGTGACTGAAAAACACCATCTACTGGTGTAGTATATAGTCTACATATTGAGTGACATCCTGTATGCTGTAATTGCATTTTAGAGATGCAACATTTTCACGATTTAAAATGAACCAAGGTTTGTTAGTGATTTTAACCAAGGTTAGTTTGTACTTGTTAGCTGACTATGTGATGAGCTGTTAGGTTTCCGTTTTTAACAAACCTGAGTAGCTAAGGTACAATGTTGAAAGACTTTTAATTCAAGATTATAATTCAATGACATATTATTTTTCTCATATGACTTATTGGTGGCATTTAGCCTACTCCTTAGCACTAGTCAGTCTAAATAATAGGCAATTTTTTGACATATCAGAACACTAATGTTTCAGATGTATTTTATGTAAAAAAGTGCTACTGAATGAATTAGTTTCCGAATTAGGAATACTGAATCAAACAAACAGTGTCCCAAAACAGAGTCATTTCGGCATCACTAATAAGAAACACGCAATTACTTATTAATTTATATGGGGGGGACGGACGGATCCCCCCTATTTCCAACCCCCCAATTACTGTATGCTCCAGTTCTCCAGGATTACAAGAAAGTAAGCATGAACCAGTGCAATTAATCCATCCATTCATCCATCCATCTTCTATTGCTTTTCCATGTCAGGTCACGGGGGCAGCAGTCTTAGCAGGGAAATCCAGACTTCCCTCTCCCCGGCCACTTCATCCAGCTCCTCCGGGGGGGTCCCATGGCATTCCTAGGCCAGCCAAGAGACATGGGTCTCCAGCGTCTTCCCCAGGGCCTCCTCCAAGTGGGACATGCCCGGAACACCTCACCAGGGAGGCATTCAGGGGGCATCCTGACCAGAGGCCCGAGCCACCTCATCTGGCTCCTCTCAATGCGGAGGAGCAGCGGCTCTACTCTTGAGTCCCTCCCGAATGACCAAGTTTCTCACCCTATCTCTAAGGGAGAGCCCAGTCACCCTGCAGAGGAAACTCATTTTGGCTGCTTGTATTCGCGATCTCGTCCTTTTGGTCACTACCCACAGCTCATGACCATAGATGAGGGTAGGAACATAGATCGACTGGTAAACTGAGAGCTTCGCCTTTTAGCTCAGCTCCTTCTTCACCATGAAAGACCGATGAAGTGCCCGTATCACTACTGATGCTGCACTGATCCGCCTGTCGATCTCCCGCTTCATCCTTCCCTCACTCGTGAACAAGACCCCGATATACTTAAACTCCTCTACTTGGGGAAGGACCCCCCTCCATGACCCGGAGAGAGAACTCCACCCTTTTCCAGCTGAGGACCATGGTCTCGGATTTGGAGATGCTGATTCTCATCCCAGCCACTTCACACTCAGCTGCGAACTGCTCCAGCGAGAGCCAAACATCACGGTCCAATGAAGCCAACAGAACCACATCATCTGCAAAAAACAGAGACCTAATCCTGAGGTCACCAAACCGGACACCCTCAACGCCCTGGCTGAGCCTAGAAATTCTGTCCATAAAAGTTATGAACAGAATCGGTGACAAAGGGCAGCCCTGGCGGAGGCCAACCCTCACCGGAAACGAGTCCGACTTATTGCCGACATTACGGACCAAGCTCTGACACCGGTCGTACAGGGACTGAACAGCCCTTATAAGGAAGCCCGGCACCCCATACTCCTGGAGCACCCCCCACAGGACTCCCCAGGGGGCAATTAGTATGCCCACTCCTGCTCAGTGCCTCTCCCCGCGAGCAAATCCAGAGTGGAAGAGGGTACAATCCCACTCAAGGAGATCCAGAGCCCAAGCCATGCATCGAGGTGAGCCTGAATACATCTTGTTGGAACTTCACAACCTCGCACACCAGCTCAGTCTCCTTCCTCACCAGAGAGGTGACATTCCATGTCCCTAGAGCTAGCTTCTGTAGCCGAGGATCGGACTATTAAGGTCCCCGCCTTCGGCCACCACCCAACTCACACTGCACCCAACCCCCTTGGCCCCTTCTACAGGTGGTGAGCCCATTGGAGGGGGGACCCATGTTCCTTCTTTGGGCTGAGCCAGGCCAGGCCCCATGGGGCCCCTTATCGAGCTCCACCCCCATGTCTGGCTCCGGGGGGAGGGGCCCCGGTGACCCACGTCCGGGCTAGGGAAAATGTGACTATATTATTACTCATGATAAGGGGTCTAATGAACCGTACTTCGACTGGCTCCTCACCCAGGACCTGTCTGCCTTGGGTGACCCTACCAGGGGCATAAAGCCCCGGGCAACTTAGCTCCTGGGATCGTTGGAACACGAAAACCCCTCCACCATGATAAGGTGTCGGCTCCAGGAGAGGCAGTGCAATTAATTATAAATATATATATGCATTTTTATTATAATAAATAATATGTGTAATTAGAGTATATTTATAGTATGTTTATTATTTAGATAGATAGATAGATAGATAGATAGATAGATAGATAAAATGAGCAGGCTGAGAAACCAAGGAAATGAGATGATACCAGATGTTCTAAGACCCACCTTCTTCTGAAGGACGTTGATCTTCCTTTCCTTGACTTCATGCATGTCTTTCATGTCCCGGATCTCTCCAGCCAATGTGCCTTTCTCCTCTGTGAGGTCCTGAAGCTGTTTTGTCTTCTTGTTGAGGAAGGCTTCTTTCTCCTCCAATCTCAGCCTCAAAGCATCCACCTCGGTAGGAATCAACAGTATTACTTAATGGCTATTACATATAACATAAATAATGTACTACAGCTACCTACTTAAAATCAGCTAGACAGAGCATCTGTCTTTTCGTAAAATTTTAATTCCCTGGTGACGGTTTTAAGAGAATGTGTAAATGAAGATAGACTTAACATAAAACGAAATGTAGCTATATAAGAATCAGATACGTTACAGTATCCCAGCACAAACAAACAGCATTCAGTACTTATTATGGATAATACTACTGACACTGTTTGTGTAATGAAGAGAAACCTGTAAAGTTAGCGTGTAACTTTCTTCAGCAGTTACGTATAATTTATTCTGCCAAAATTTAGTTTTGTTTGTTTGACAATTTTTATTAGAAGGATTTAGAAGGATTTCCTCAGATAAAGATTAATAACCTTAGTGACCTGATTTATTCCTTCAGTAATATGGCATTTCCATTTCATTAGAATTGCTAATTTTTTACTATACTTCATGCTTTCATGCCACAATTATTATTTAAACTATTCATCTCAAAAGCAGAGTCAGAAGTCGTGGGTAGCCTGGCAATGTAATGGTTTCCTACAGATATTTTTTCCTATGGTTGGTGAACTCAAAACTCTATATGGTGCTTAAGAAGCATGAACCCCCATTAAGTCAATTATAATTTCTAAATAGGGTGAATAAGTGGGATACTTTCTGATCATTTACGGTTCATATGGATTTAAAATATGTTCCAAATGCAGCACTCATGAACAGGACTCAAATGGTGGTCTGGCCATGGTGATGAGGAACATTCTACTATGCTCTACAATAGTACTGTACACATGCACCACCATGGTACTTGTGCAAAGGACTCAGATTGTGTTCTGGCAGTGCTGATAAAGAACATTCTGCTATGCCCTACTACAGTACAGTGCACACACATCACCACAGTACTCGTGCACAGGACTCAAATGGCACATCCTGTCGTATCTAATTCATTGTTAAAGTCAAACTTTTTTATATATCACAGTAGATGGAATCCGCTTCTTCACTACATAAATTATGTTTTCATTGCAGGTTACTCAAGCCTTCTAAATTAAATAAATGCCATGTGGTCTGTGAAAAAGTAGTATTGTCACGGCAATATTTGCAATATTGACAGCTGCGGCCATGCCTGTCAGACAGACACAATCACTTTCTTGTACTGTATTGCTTGCTGTGAGCGTTGAATGCCATGTCAAACTGGAATACCATAAGTTGGTTAATATACAGTAAAGTGTTTCTTTGAAAGGGTTAAGAGTCATAAGTCTCACTTACACACCAGCAAATATGCAATACAGTAATACTTACTAGTTTATTTAAAGAGTTACTTGGGATTACATTTCTGATACCCTCACTTCTTGTGTTGCACTTTGCTAAAATGGTTTGAGTAGCTACTTTAGTCTAACTAAAAGCATAAGTAAATCTATCCCAAATAGTGAGAAGCAGCTGCTTAATCTATTGTATTTATTTTTCTCATTCAGAGTGAAATAATTATCTGAAATTCATGCCTTGCACTGGCTCAGTGGGCGGCACTGCGGCTTTGTAGATCGCAGGCCAGGGGTCTCTGCTCTGAAAAGGCACACTGCACTGTCATGGCGGGCTCGGTGGGTGGCACTGCGGCCTCGTAGATCGCAGGCCAGGGGTCTCTGCTCTGAGAGGGCGTACTGCACTGTCATGGCGGGCTCGGTGGGTGGCACTGCGGCCTCGTAGAT